TTTGGACAATATGAAGCTCATAAACACTCAGAGCAGATGGTGTAACATGCAGCAGCAGGAGACGGAGCTTATTAGCTATCGCTTCCTTCCGCTAGTCTACAGCCCAGAAATCTGAAGGACCTTTAAATCACCCTCTACTGAGAGCTGAGTCCCTTTCATGAGACAGTACAAGGGATAAACTGTGTGCACTTAAACACACATCACTTCTTCATTATGCCTCAAGTCTCTGCTCTGAAGTGTACAGGTATAAAACGTGCTTAAATCAAGTTCTCAGAAGATTTTCTAAAATTAGCAAAATAATGCTGCAAACAACACTAAAAGTCTAAAATTTAAGTGTCTGGCATTTGCAAAAAAAGAGAAAAAAAGATTCTAGTAATACAAAATACGTCACCAGTTTTTATACTAGCCCTGTTATTTTAATAATAGTACAGTACCAGAAGTCTTCTATTTTTCTTTTAATTTTTCTTCCTTAAATTATAGCATTTCAAGAAAAACTATTTGCAAAAATAATTGGTTTCATTTGTGATCAATCTGTTCCTACCTTCCTCTTAAAGCACTCAGGAATGCTTCATTCCACTGTGCTACAATCACCTTCCACAACAGCTCAAGGCACAGCTCTAAACAAATTATACAGCTTAAAGGTTAAAAAAAATCCCTTCATTAACCAAAAAATCTCATCATAAAGAAAACATAGGGAACAAGAGAGATGTAAATAACCACTCTGCTGAAGAAATCCAAACTACCACATTTCTAAAAGGCTGCATAGCAGTAGTTCTCTTAAGAGTTTTTCTCTTTTGACATTCTCTTTCTTGTCTTTCTCAAAACTAATGACCTCCCCTCCAACTGCAAACCTAAAAAATGCAATTTACTCTGTCCTGTTCACATGTCAATAGACATTTTATTTTGATAGTCTTTATGCCATGAATGGCCCCAAAATATGTAACTAGCAGGCAGTGCAATTCCATCAGGATAGAACAGTTACCACTGATCGTACTTGAGCTCCACTTTCTTAATAACAGGAGTTTGGGGATGCCTCCCAGTAAAATATTCCCCTTCATTAACTGTGGAAATTTATAAGCATGGAGTCCTAAATTCACCCAGGTAAGTGCTCCAAATCTCTATTAAAACAATAAAAAAAAAAAAAAAATCACAGTCACTCTGCTGGCATCAGCTTCATCCGGGAGAGCTCACAAGACCACAAATTTGTTGCTTGTTAGATTATTATTCTTGTCTTATACATAACACGTTCAGGGGTGAAACTAAAAAAGGCTTTTTTACCTTTATACGTAATTTAAAAATAAAGTAATTGAAACAAAAAATACATGCAACATACAGACCAAATTCAACTCTCTCCATGGCCCTGGTACAGACACAAAGCAGATCTGCTGCCCTGAATGGATTTACATAATTCTGGAACCTGAGTAGAATATGGTTATTATGTAAAAAGCTTTTGCCACTTCACAGATGACAAAACACCACCATGACATTTTCCTGACAGGACAATTTCCTACCAGTGTTTGTCAGCACGCCTTTTATTTATGTCTAAGATGATAAGTAAAACTGGTTTTGACCGGTCATATGATGTTAAAGAGTTACATGTGTTTAAATGTTCCTTCCTGGTAAGCTGAAAATTGCTGAACTTTAATGCATAGCAAAACAGACCGCCTATTTCTGAGCCTCACATGTAGCTTTTCCCTTCTAAGGAAAGAAAGTGCTGTTCAGCACTAAAACATTTCTATTGCCTCTGTGTCCTCGCCATTGCTAGGATGTAACAGAGGGCAGAAATGAGAATTGGATGACAACAGCAGTAAGCCTAAAAAGAGAGGATGAGACAGAAGTGGCCTTAGGCAGAAGAGTTTTCTCACACTGTGACCCAGGCCTCTCTATGGAGCCAACGGAGCTCATTTGAGGAAGATTTTGAACATTTAGTTGGATCTGCTGCTCTCTTGAAGATAATTTCATATACCTTTTTCACGAAACATTACTTATGTCACCACTCGGGAGCTTTTGTCCAGAAAAAGGTTTTCCTTACTTCTTGGGCTAAAAGCAGAGTAGGCCAATTCTTTGTGAAGCACTCTAAGATGTCATTTCCTAGAATACTAGTAATCATGATTTTCTCACACAGATTTACCAGAAAATATTTGCTGTTGGATCCTCCAATGGAACAACTCCATTTTGCCTTACCCATAATGCAGTTCAATATATTTATCTTGCCAGGAAACACACGTTTGTCTAAGCAGAAATTTACTGCCGTATGCTCATATTGTTAACGATCAATAAACTTTATCATGCCAGTGACTCGATCCCAGATGCTTATCCTATCAGGAATTCATTCCTCTAAACCAGTGTTTTCTACAAATCTATAATTAACCTAAAAGCCAGAAAGCTTTTCCCTATTGCCAGTATTTGTAGAGTACAGGTTCTTTCACACTTACTTTAGTGGAAACAGAGAAAACTGCGGAAGAAAACAGTTCTAATTATGTAAACACGTCACAAATAAGCTCGAGCTGCAATCTATGTATAGTACAACTATGAGAACTTTTTTCCCCGCACAGCCAAGTCCATCAATGAGTTTCCCAGCAAGAGCAACATTTCTGACAACTTCTGCCAATTCTACCCCATCTCTTTCAAGTACAAAACAACGTGTTTACCAATTCTTCCAAGAATTAATTTACTATGTTTGCCAGTATCTCCAAACTACATGATATCAGGTCTGCCAAGAATTTACTTCATAAAATCTTCTTGCCAGGATGAGATATTGCAGATTTACATATCTTCAGACAAGCAGGATTCTGAACGCTCCATTGACTAAGAGAATGCATTTTTAAATGTACACATTATGCATTTAGCACTGACTCTTTACTAGTCAATGACACTTTGTCAGGAGAGTTTTGTATCTGCTCCCATTCAGTTGTTAGGCCAGTAAAACTTTGTTTGGCTTGTGGTGGTATTTGTTAAATCTTGAATTGTCTGGTAACTGCAAGTTTCTGATTTAAGTAACTCCAGACACACAATTCGTCTTGCACTGGACTCTCCATGAGTGACACAAGTACTAGACCTGAAGAACAGCACCTAAAAATCATTGTTTAATGAACAGATCAATTCTATACTTACTGTTTGTTTTTTTCATCCTACAACATGAGTGCAAAACACCTGTTGGTCTGCACAAGCACATAACTGATTCCTTACAGGTCGGTCCTGAATAAGTGGGGTAAGTTCATGCCTGACAACTTCTTGCAGAAATGCACACTAATTTGGCCAAAAATATTAATGCAATTGCTTTCAGAGGCAATGTTCTGGAAGAATAAATTCAACATGACACAGAGGCTGGTTTCTTATGCCTACAGTAGTGTGACTGCAACCCTTTTATATGTGCCCAAGCTAGTGATGCTACAGCTGACATGAATATCAATAACAACAAAGCATTGCAAACAGGGAGCTCTTCAAGGCCCTGGTCCCTGCAGAGGTTATCCTTTCACAGCCACAGTGATAAGCAATGAGGGAGTTGCTCTAAGTAGATCTACAAGTATATTTACACCATCTCCAGGCACAAAAATACAGCCATATATATCTCAGTTAACCAAACTCTCACACCGTGTTCAAGATAAAGTCACAAAAATCAAACATATCCAAGTCAAGTTTTCTATACAGTACATTGTTGAAATCTGTGTTAGTGACTTCTTCTTTCCAAAAATTGCAGTTTTGTAACTCTTTGGAGGGAATATATGCAGATGGATTGAGCCTATCTCTGTCACCCAAAAATTATAGGTACTTTCAGTATATGAAAGTACTAAGAGTAACTTGAGTCAGAATATCTGCAGTAAAATACAAAAAAGCTGTAAGAGCTATGTAGCACAGCCTCTCTAAATTTTACATTAATTTACACATCACAGAAGAGACAAATTTTCCATCTTCAAAAAGCTTATTTTTCTTTCATTTTCTTGTAAAAAAATTATTTTTATATTCAGAAAATTGGAGAAGGCTTTTCTGGGTAAGCACTGAGGGACTGGGTTGCTTTGTGCATGTGGGTTTTTGATGTGGCTTTTTGGGGGGGGTTGGGTTGGTGTGTTTGTTTGCTTACGAGTTGTTTGTTTTTTTTAAAAAATACTAAAATTTTTAGCTGAGAAGCACTGGCCACACTGCAATTCAACCACTTCCTTGAGGATCAGGGAGGGATTGCCCCTGGAGCCCCTCTGCTGTTACCTGTAAAGGGACAGGACTCCCACTGCTTCTGACACACACACTGATTCCTAAAAATATTCTTCCTGCCCCGTCATCCCCTCTGAATTTGTGACAGAGCTGAAAGCAGCAGACAAGCCATTTTGTACATGCAGCACGAGTCCATCAGGGCATGCTGCAGTAAATTCTCCTCAATCCTTCCATTTCTTTAGTCTTTAGCTTTCAACTCCAACCAAAGAGTAGTTTTTCCTAACCTTAGCTCAACTATCATAAGTGCTCAAATCTTTGTCCTTATCATGCAAAAGGCTAAAATAGAAACTTAACTGTCAGGTTTTTCCTTACAATACACTAATTCTCTTCAGCTTTTAAATTACTTGATTATTGATATGATTAAAAATGTCAAGAGAATTGTTGCATTTGTATGAATTCACAGGCTTTGTAAGCACGAGCAGGTATAATCTGCAGCCTCAACATTGATTTTTATACCAGAATGCACCCAACACATACAAAGGTAATAAATACTCAGTGACCATTAGTAAGAAGAGTAGCTCCTACTAAAGATATATTTGTCTATGGCTAGTTTGGGATGATTTCCAGAATATCACTCAGCCCGTCCTGCCAAAAAGAGCAATTTTACTTAAAGGAATTTTTTTTCCTAAATTTTTTATATTATGGTATATTTAAATATAGGTGAAAAGCAGGTTGACAGCACAGGCCTTTAAGAACAAAATGTTTGCTCATCTGCTGATAACAGGATACTGTTACATAGTAAATAATCATTAAGTAATAACCATAATTAGTAGATAAAATAAATGATTTACCTTGTGTGGACTGGTCAATGGCTTTTCTTTTTCTGCTATGACTGTTATAGTTAAGTCTTAGCTCTTGGCTATATTCATTCAGAGTTTCTCTTGAGTCATAAGATTGCCTTTGCTTTCCCCCATCTTCACTTTCATCTGAAGAACTTGTGTAAGTTAGATCCACTTCATGTTTAACTTTTGACAGTGGCTGGTAGGGTTTGCAGTCCATCTGCTCCATCTCTGATTAAATAGGCTCAAAGTCATGAAAACAAGCAACTGGAACGCCTTAAGGAAACAGTCCTGGAAAAAACAAACCAAAAACAATAATCCATTTCAGACATGATATAGAAATTTATCTCACTAAGGCCAAATTTTTTTTTTAGTTTATATAAACCAATTAAATTGTATAAATATCACTATAATTCAGGAAAGAAACTGAACATGTCATATTTCACTGGGGGTTTTTTGTTTTAAAAATAGAAAAAAAAAGCTACTTGCGGGAAAAAAATTAAAACCAAATCTTAAGTACTGTCCTGCTAGACCAAGCAACAACTGTACCTTATGCATAAGATATGCTACAACAACTTATATTTGGTATTAAAGCTAAGATAGAACAGTTACTATTTCTCTAAATGGATGCATATTCATCTTAAGTGAAAATAGTGTTCTATGACTTTTAAAATATGAAGCCTAGAAAGCAGAAAGTTCACCCTTTCAAAATATTCTGCTGTAAATTAAATTACATTTAGTCAAGAATAAGAGACTTCAAACTTTAGAAAACCACCAAACTTGTTAAAAATAAAAACATACCGCACTGTCACTCTACAAAAGCATAAGCTGGTTCAGAAATGGACATTTTCTTTTAGATTGTGTGGACATTTCAACAGGAAGAAGCTTGTACCCTGCAGCACAACCCCTCTTTTCCTTGGCATCTCCCATCTAAACTCCTACCAACATGGGGCTTTACAGAACCATAATGGAAAACTTCAAAACTGCAGTTTGAGTTTTGCATATGTATTTGTACAAAGACATTCATTAAAATCAAGTGCATTGCATCTGCACATGCAACTGGTGCACTTGTCCTGTGTCTTTGCCCTCACTAAGCTGTTTCCATCACTAATTTTAAAGACAAACTCGGTGGGAAATAACAGAGCACACTTTTTACAGCAGCACGGCTCACAAACAGGGAACTCTGTTTGGCTTCTAGATTAGCAGATATTATTAACCTAGAAAAACAAATGTAACAAAAAAAAAAGAAGGCGCCTGTAAACATTACTGCTGGAAGGCCAAGAAAAACACAGAAGTTCAAAGGGATTTTGCTTAATTAAAAAGCAATTGCTCACAGTTTCTTAATGATTTTAAGGTCAGTAGCCGAGCTAAGTAAGTTTAATACTCAGTTTGATATCAGCCTGTTTCCCATCTGCAACAAGGACTTTTAACCCCACACATTGCCCATTGTGAGCATACAATCGGAATCTCCAAAAGCAACACAGGAAAAGGGAAAACACACATAAGAGAAACATAAAAGGCACTTGTTCTTAGAGGGCTATAGAGATGACTAACTTCTCAAACTGTCTGAATGTTTGAGAAACAAGTGATGGTAGCTGTCACTGTGTTCCAGTACAGCAAACCTTCATCTCCTGGTTGTGTGTCCTCCCAATACTTTTGAAAGGATCACCTTCCTGAGAGGAAGGGAAAACACTGCACGTGATGTGGAAAGGGAATAAAACTTCTAACACAGTAACAGAAAAACAAAATCCAGGCCCTCAGAACCCTTGGACAGAGGAAGGGAGACAGACCACTGCAGTAGGAGTAACACCATGGAGTGAGTGCATGCCTTGCTTTCCCCATGTTTTGGGAGATTATCTGAAGAAAGAGGTTAAAGGCAAGTATTTGCTAACTAACCTGAAATGGAACAGCTCGTCAGAAGCAAACAGCACTTGGATAAAAAGCAACAGCATTTAAAAAAAAAAAAAAATGCAGCTCATGTCTCCTACTTAGCAAAGAGGGCTTGAAAGCACGTAAGTCAATAAAAAACTCTTCAAGAGAGAGAGAAAACAAGAAAGAAGAACCAAGAAGCTGCCAGAGACCAAGGCCAGCTGACAAGGGTGTCATGGGCTGCAGCAATGAACACAGAGATTTGGGTTCTGGATTGATCACACTTTATCAAGTTGATGTTAAAACGCTACTGCAGACAAGTTACTACTAAGCAATATTTGCTTCTCCAAAGTTATTTGCTTAAATAATTTACAGTTATTTGCCAACATTGCCTATTATTGCCTAGCTTCAGTACTTATTTTGGTGAGTTGCTTTACTAGCGACAGAAGAACACAAAGGTGCTCTGACTTACAAGCACAGAGTTGGATTACAAGATGAACTGATGACTCTGTAGAAACGGTTACTGACAGGAAAAAGCCTTCCAAATGCCTTCTTTCTGACAGAATAAATGGAGATGAAGCTACAGAAGCCAGAAGAAAACAAGGAGAAATTAAAGGCCTCTATTAAGAAGATGCAGCAGAGAAGAAATAAATCTTGCCATGAAGGCAGCAAGTGCAAGCAGCCTCGGACGCACGTGGTGCATCCTGCTTTCGAAAGCACAAAATGATGAATCTGACAAATTTAGCTCATTACTGGAAAAAAACAAATAAACAAAAAACCCACAAAACCAAAACACACAAGTTCCTCCTAAAAGATGCTGTGCATCTGTTTTGTGGGAGGTTTCAAGTGATTTTTTTTATTTTTTTTAAACAAGTAATAAAAAAATTACTAGGATGCACAGAGACCTGTAAAACTTAAGCTGCAGCAAACCAACTACTTAAGGAAGATTTATTTTTATTCTTTAAAAACAAGGTTTAATAACCAAAGTCTTTGTGAGAACTGCTTGTAACAGGAATATATTTAATTATGTTAACCAAGGCAGTAGGCAGACCAATTCATTTAATGTAAGAAATTAATATTAGATTTATTACCTATTTTGGGTCTTCTCTTTCACTGCGGTACTTTCATATGTGCTACCTTCTCATGTAAAGGATGTGCATTTTTTTCAATTCTAAATCCATGTAAGAGCTCCATGAAATATCCCCTTAAAAGCTGTAATTTTATTATTTTTTTATATATAAGAGCAAGAATGATTTAAAAATATGACCAACATTTGAATATCACAATTTAACACCACATTGCCCCTGCTTGGGGATGCTACTTCTGCCATTGCCATATGTGCCCACATTTCCAGTTGTAGGGATGCAAAGGCCTTTGTGTGTGAAGCCACAGCTCAACTTTTCCCAGGGTAGTGCTGACAACCAAGTCACTCCAGCACCAGGCTGGAGTCATCTCCAGTCACACAAACAGAAAGACTCAGTATGAAGTTTTATATCCTTTATAGTGGAAGAATGTGGATACAGATGTAACACAGACACATCCCAAGTCACCTACTCGTTCACCACCTGAAGAAGAAAATCTTCAGCTCCCCTGGCCAACTCTTCTCTCCCCACCCCAATTGTACCAAAGCCATCTAAAACTCAGCAGTGCTAAAGGCTCACGTAAGGGCAAGAGATACAGCACCAGTGTCAAAGATCACAGTAAACTTCAGCTTCCTTCCACACAGGGACTAAGAGCTTGTGCTTCCTTTGTCTTTGTTTAGGGCATGAGGGTCTCATAAACCCAAAGCTATCTGGCCTGACATGAAAGCAGGTGATAAATCGTTTGCAAGAACTGGAAAAATACTTCATCAAATTTTTCATCAAAAAAAGCTTTTATGCATCAGAAACACATGATTAAAAAACCCAGATCAAATCTTCAAGCTTTTCTACAGTGAAAGAATCAGTTTAATTTAACAAATGACGCTACATTATGATAACCTGAATTTAAACACTGGCAATCAAATACTTGCCCCTTATTTCATATTTTGTTTGGAGAAACACAACACAAGTAAGCAAGTCAAAATGCTGAAATAGGGCAGAAGTATAAAGAATATTGCCTTGATGTTTACATAGGTTTCTTCAAATAACTGTCTTTCAAATAACTAAACAAAACATGCGGACGATCAATATCAAGTTGACCTTGTCAGCAAAATGATAAAGTCTCATAAAAGCTTACAGTTCCTGTAAGTGACATTTCTGTAAGTGTCTTAATGCTCTCCTCCTCACAAGTAGCACTTTGTTGCCCTTTCCACCACTGTTCTGTCATTGAAAGGTTTCACAAAATATGTAATAAAAATATTATAGGTAACTATAAACATATAACTATATGAAATACATATTTAGGCAGTGAATAGCAGGTAATTCTGAACCATACTTTAAAACAGATATCGTATGCAGTTTACAGTTGATTTTGTAGAAGAATACACAACTGATCATTTAAATTCCCAATGAACCACTTTTGCAAATGCAAAAAAGTCAAAAAGCTCTATTGGATGGGAAAATCCCACTCAAAGTAATGGAGCTAATATAGATCCATATGGATTTTAATGTATGATTTATGCAACTTTCTAAATGCACACTGTACAAGTTATTAGAAACTATTTTCACATATCACTTTCATCAAGATTCTTTCCCATCGGCCACGTAACTCTGCTGTGCTGCTCAGATCAGAAGCCCACTTGCTCAGGAGCACAGGAACATGGGGGTAACTGGCTTATGAGGGAGCCTGGGATGGGGCTGTTTGCAGTGCACGTGCTCATCCAGAGGTATTTTATACCAAACCCCACTATGTGCATTTATACTGCATAGAGGAGGCTCTGCACTCAAACCCAGCGATGCCACAGAGATCACATTACTTTAATAGTGCTTTTTATAAATTCTTAATAGGCTGCTCTGATAGGGTGCCCATTTAATGAACAAATTTCCATACTGATTACCCACCATCAGCCCCGTCAAATCACCAGTGGCATACCCAGTTGGTTACCAGTAAGTCCAGAATTATTTAGAGAGGTCAGGTTACGGTTGCTAATGAGTATCATGTAGCAGAACAGGGTCCTCCAGAAGTGTAGAAGAGTAAAAACATGAAGAATTGTAACCTCTGTTGGCCTCAACTAATCATTATGTTTAATACTCAGATATTCCAGACCATTTAGAATTAAAATGTAATTGCAGTTATAATGTTAAAATATAACCAAGGAACTGTCCTTGTTCTCTCCTATATTTCTTTTCTTTCAACACATACCCTTATCTGAAAGCTACCATTTGCTTATTGCCTTTTCAGACCACTAGTTTCTGAAAATGAACTACTAAGCAGGTATATCAGCTCTGGACTGCTGAAGGCAAAAAGAAC